CACATTTACGCCCCTATAAGAAAAGATCTTGGGTAGAACTCATATAAATGTTAAGACGTTTCTTCACCCCATGAGTCATCGCCCGTGAGAGACCCTGTCTCGTGAAACTCATTTATGTTAAACCAATAACGACACACTGAAGTTTCATTACAATATCGTTCAGATGTAGTAATGATAATTCTTTTTAAATTTGTTTCTCAAAGTCAGATTTCTATATCTTCCTTAGTTTTGGAAACATACATTCTTGCAATGGTCGTCAGACTTCCATACTTTCCTAATGCAAAAAGAAGACGAGGTTATATGTCTGTTATGGAGCACTTTATGCACCACCTTTTCCACGAATGGGATCCCGGCATTCCACCGGCGGGGTGGGGTGGGGGTGGGGGTGGGGTTGGGGGTGGAGGAGGATTACTGAAAATATTTCCAAAATCCACCAATGCAGTCAATCATATCTCTGCTCAGACGTTTTTATTCACCCTTGGTATTTTCATAGCCATCGCCGTGAAATGCCTTTGTTTGTTTATATCTACTAAAATTAATCGGAGTAATAGTGTGCTTGTTAATGGAGGTTGTACTTTATTTGATGCACAGCAGTTGGAAATACAAGCCTGAACAGCAAATGTAACATTAACGCTTGTAAATCATGGATAAAATTCGCTCCGCTGATCACTTTCACTTATGTAGCTAAAGCGAGAACGCAAAATAGCATTTCAAGAAATAATGGGCTTTTACATTTCGATATAAAATCCAGAGTCCAGCATTACGGCCATAGCTTCATATTGCAACCTTCTGCCAAGAAATATAGAACTGACGCTTTTCACTCGAGTTTTCTTCCATTACAAATTAATATCAGGTCCTTAAGCAGTGGAAATCAACACAAAAGAAAAGACCAAGGAAAGATCGCAGTTCCGATACAAAGAATCATTTCACTTTTCTAAACATAACACACTTATGAACAGATCTAATTAATAATATCAAACAACATGGCATTGAAAATTGAATCTGTCTGTATGCCTTTTAGAACCCCTCCAGCATGTCATAATGGATTTTAATGGTCTGAATGCATTGTATTCACGAAATGAATCAAGCCTGTGAATCATTCAGCAATAACAGGTTGCTCAATGTCCGCACTTTTGATAAAATTATGTACCTTTAATTTAGATTTGCGTCTCATTAAGTCAGAAGATCTGATCTGAAATGGTTGTATTTGTTTATCTTGTCATGTGAGAGAATATCAAACCAAGAGGTGGACGCCCTGGGTTTCTGCTTGTTCAGTTACTGATATGATCTTCATGCAATGAATCATCGTATTTCTAGACACATTTTAACTAACGACCCCATTGAGCTCGTTTCCTGATTTCAGAACAAGGTTTTCTTTTGGAAAGGAATAAATACATTTCAACGAGGGGTGTTTACAATATGCAAATGTCAGTTCCATAGTTTGTCTGAAGGAGTGAATGAGGAAGGAATTTGGTTTCATACCACTTTGAAAGGTCTTTCAGGTTAATGATGTCTATAACATAGCGTTCGAGTTTGACTCAACTTAAAAACCCCCATGAGACATTTTAGTACATTCAAGTGATGTACTGAAATGTCACCTTCCTCATTATTTAATGGTAAAGGACCCTGAAAGTCTGGTATACATAGCGAACATTGGTGATGCTCTATTGAACTTAATGGATGTACGTTTACGCAAATGTGTGTGTGTGTGCGTCTGTGTGTGTATAACTGTACTTTTCTGACCTATTTATCGTGCTTGCCTGCTTAGTTTAACATGAATACCCCATACCGTATATTGCCGGCTTGCCAACCGGTCACAGTTTTATTACGACGGTTCCTTTTTCAAAGCCAAGCGTCAGGCAAGGAAACAACAAGTAACATCTCTTAAGATAAAACAGGGCCGGGTATCAAATCACCCACTTTCCCCTCTCGATACAGTCGTTCTATTCTGCATAACAGGGGAAGGCTTGCTACAAAAAGCCGTGATTGTCGTGATAGTTACTCACATGGTAAGAGTACCAACATGAAGTGTCATCAAAACTGTCGTGACAAAGAGGGGACTGTCAGTGTATTTATCAGTACTCATCAGCTACATATTTTATGACAATCGCTGCCTATTGACTCCGTCTTCATAACCCTGCGACCATCTGTAAATATCGTGATTAAGTTTCAATAATAGCATAATCATTCATTTGCCCGTTTGATGTATATTGTCTCCATCGGACGCACATACTGATTAAAGATGTACAAAATTGGACCCACCGATGTCTTTGTAATCCTGGAAGTATATCTTGTAAAGCAATAAAGTATGTCTGGACATCAGCTATTGTTATTTTACGTAGATTACAACCAACAAATATGTCTTTCAGATCAAAAGAGCAAATGGTCACTCGTTCAAGTCTGATGTAACAACCGCCTTATGCATTATAGGTAATTCCAAGACATACTTTAGTTTCATTCCACAATGAATATATATACATTCGAGGATCATGAGCTTACAAAATCAACATGTTAGCATACATCGATGGGTGAACTTAGACATTGGCTATATTCTGATCTTGCATTCTAGAACGGCGTGCACTGTTGATGGTTCTTGTCGGTTATAATTGCAAAGAATGAACAAAGAAATGAAAGAGCTGAGTTAACGTGAGACGTATTGAAACGTCTCGCCCATGATTGTTACACGTAAACAGACACTGTCCCGGAATGACGCCAGGTTTAGAGCTCGTCCACAGAAACATCATATCCGAATTAATCATGGATAACCCTCTCAGACACTTTATTCAGATTCCAAGCCAACCAGTCCTTGTGTTTTAGCTTTAATCCCAGCGCCAGACAGGCTAACTACTGTTACTATGCGTTAACATACCTTTGAACGACACGATCAGGGGTGTCAAAGCAATGGATTGACACCGGATATATGTTTAAGTTCATTACACTATACTGACTGACTGACTGAGTTTGGTTTTACACCGCTTTTAGCAATATTCCAGCAACATCACGGCGGGGAACACCAGAAATGGGCTTCACACATTGTACCCATGTGGGGATTCGAACCCGGGTCTTCGGCGTGACGAGCCAACACTTTAACCACTGGGCTACCCACCGGGCAAATACGGGAATGCCTTAACAAGGAACATGTTAGATAACGTTTAGAACATTGAGGCATTCTGTCCTGTGGAACTGAGATTGTTAAATTTGTCTGTTAAAGGTTGCATGCGTTATCCATCAATCCATCCCGGGCATTCAAGTGTGCCGTACTGCCGTATTCTGGAAGGTGCACTTAAAGTCTAGAGTCTCATCTTTGACTCGCATCTAACCTTTCTGCCACATATTAAATACCTTAAAGGTCACATGCAACCAAAAATCAAACATAATTAAAAACACAATTATCACTTCTTCATGACATATAATATGCATTGCTGATTATGGAAAAACAAATAACCAAAATTATAAGCGTATAATCGCAAATCAAAAAGTGCAATATTTTGTACTTGGGTTTACCTCCCTCGAAACAGAAGCAGCCGGGATACCGAACCCAGTCAGAGCGGGTGGGTGTGCACTCAAGTGTAACGGCTGGTTCATTAGCAGATGCCGCCTTCACGGCTCAATTGTGTGTGTATATATATAGAGAGATGTTGGGTTTTGTAAATACATGCTCATTTTTGTGTATAACATTTTGCAATCAACAGACATCATAACATGTCATGTGTTCAAGTATCACACCTGCCTGTCTGTGTAATTACATAATGTGACAGAGACCGAACTCGGGCCATAAATCAATGCGTTTTGTTTATGGTGTATAGCCTGATTGGTGTTAAGTTCAAATTGCATGTGGTCAGTGATCGCAGTTGTGTATTGAATATTGTCATTAGCAGACAGGCAGGCAGACACACTGGTGTCAATAAAACAAGACATTGAGTTTTGTCTGTGACAACGACATATCTATATCACAGTTAGAAATTGTGTCAACTCTAAATAATGACATTGCTTTTAAGTATCGAACTGAGAAAGTGACTCGGTAAGAAGAACGTGTGGTGAAATAGACAAATGAAATTATATAAACAGTTTATTTACTGCCATAACATACAAAAAGCTCGCGCCTGTGAGATATCAACAAAACATTATGAAACTAGCTCACACCAAAGCCTTCACCGAGTATTCACCAGACAGCCCGCTTCCAAGTTGCGCGAACCTATTTCACTGCGTACGTGCTATGAGCGCAGCCAGCTGTTGAAACCCGTATTCCCCAGAAAAGTCTGGGGAAATTTAGTGTGAAACGTTTGAAATCCGATTTCGCGGTTTTTTTTCATCGCGTTATTTTTCAACTTTATAAGTTGAATTTGCATTTTGACGCTTTGTTTCGGTAAGTCCATAACGAAAGGTATCAGAATCTGCAAAGTTGTGTTTTACGTTGCATGTGAACTTTAAAGTAAAGTAAAGTAAATAGTAACTCACTCACTCACTCACTAAAGTCTAGCGCTACAGTATATACAACTCACTGTTGTATAACTCACGAAAAGCAGGGACTACGTATTCATATAGACAGAAGTCAAATGACAAATGCCAAAGCCAGATAATAATCAGTGTCAAGCATCTGCTGAAACTTTTTTTCTGTTGTTTGCAGAAGAGAATGAACTGAAAAACTGCATGAATGGAAAGCGGACAGTTACTGAAGACACCAGGTGTTTGCAAAGATGGTAAGCGTGTCCTGGTCTACCTTTACCTGCAATTTGATAGTTGAAGTGTTTGTCATGGTGTTGGGGTTTATCATAGGACAGTTCGTTTGTTTTCCGATTTTGGAAAGTGAAAAATGTATTTCGCTGCGAATAAATACAGAGAAGAACTTAAGAAATACGTTTTTCCATACAGGACAAAAATACTTTTCATCACAAAACCAAGGATATAATTCGGTATCCATGATATATTTTACAAATCCCAAACCACCCCTTACAAACCTAACGCGATATTCTTACTTCTGTGGACCTACAATTTTTAACTTTATTTCCACTTTCTTTTAGTAAACAAATACTCAGATTTATAAACAAGTAGTTTCAAGTGATGACCCAGAAGAAATTCTAAATGAATGTCTTCTATGAAAAAAAGATAATTCGTTAACAAATTCAAATATTCAAGCCATGCATGCCTCGTGAATATAAGGAGGTCTTTAATGAACATTTAAAAGATTTAGCAGATGTCTGTGATGACTTACAAAACTCATTCATGAGTGTTTCCAAATATCATGAACCTGTTTCGTTGTAGACCAATCTTCCGGGTGTTCTTTATGACTTGTGAAACGTACCATCCCATGTGATTGCAAGAACATTTGTGGCGGAACATCACTTCATAACACATGGAAGCATATCCTCCTCTGAAAACTGTCACAGGCGAATGAGACCAGACGCGTGTTGGTCGAAAATATTTCCTGTTCCCACTAAACGATTGATTATAGTGCTTATAGGAACACACATGCTTATACCTGCGTATTGAAAAGCTTCATTTGCAATTGGAACATTCAAATGAAATTTTAAAAAATGTTTTCTTTTTGTGAATGATCAAGTGGACATTATATTCCTTCACTGCAATATACATTCATGTATGTCATTCATACCAAAGGCAATCATTCATTCACTTTCGAAAAGTATTTTATAGATGATTGTTTATGATATTATTCTTAAAAAATATTTTTCTCGGGAAAGAAACTCCAGTATTCTCAACATGTATAAAGTGTTTTTTCCATTTTGCTCACACATGAGCAAAACGTTGTTTTCCTAGGATATAGTGGACATTAATTCCTTTCACTGTAACATACATTCATGTATGTCATACATACAATAGGCGAACGTTTATTCAATTTCGAAAAGTATACATATAAATGTTTTATAATGTTATTCTACTTACTGCTTCTCATCTCAAATTGCATCTCAAGTGACAAAATGTCCAGCATTGTTCGCGATGATTATTGCGTGGGACCCTTGCATAAGTCGGATTACTGTTGTTGAGAGGTGAATATTGCCATCCCTGTCTTTATTGCTATAATCGATGCCTTTGTATTACATTACCTTTGGATTGGTACTGCCACTATTTTGTTCTGAGATAGTGACGCCTTTGTATTGATTTGTGAACCTGGTTCATTTCAGAGCACCGTTGTTAATTACAACACATGCTTGTTGTTTTCAAACGTGGTTCTTTACAGACTGACTCCCTTTTATGTTTATAGTTTTAACTAAGGAATCAGCACCTGACAATTTGTCAGAAATGGAAACAAATGAAATTTGTAGTTTACTGGAAAACCCCAGATGTGTGGAATGCTGGACGTCCTGACTAATAACAGGAATGTAAATTGTGGGAGACTCTAAGGCAAGAAGCATTCATCTCCAAGGACACCTACAATCATATTCTTGCTGGTCTGTTTCTTTAAGCATATGAATATATGGGAATTTCTGCTATTTCCCCGATTTCAGTTCGAGAAGGATACATGTTCTAAAGTAAAGTTTAATTTCAATTCAATTTCAACTTCATCTCCACGGACACCTACTGCAATCATTTTCTTGCTGGTCTGTTTCTTTGAGCATATGAATAGCATAGCCAAGCACTATCGGCGTTCTGCTGAACGTAGATGGAGATCAAGCAAACTTGAGGTAGATAGACAGATTTACCAAACTGCCAGAAATGAAGTCAACAACCTCATCAAGAAAGCAAAACTAGATCACATTTCTAAAAAGATTGAAGAAAGTAAAGGAAACAGCAGACAGTTAATCCCGCTCTTACAAAGAGACTAACAGAACCACAAACATCGACTGTCATACCTTCTCGAGAGGAGTCCAGTCTACGTGCAGAGGAGTTTGCAGGAATTCTTCATTACGAAAGTGAAGAACATTCGCGAAGACATAGCTAAACGTCAGTGCTGCAGCAACAATCCCCTGGAACAAGACCAACCATTTTGCGGCACTCAACTTGTCGTATTTGAACCAGCAGAGATCAAGAGATTACAGATACAATCAAATCTGCCTTGTAAAATCCTGTGAATTGGATCCAGTACCATCTTGGCTACTCAGAAACTGTCTAGAATCATGCCAATATCTTACTTCATCAGTCATCAATTCCTCTCTCCAAGAGGGCTCAGTACCGGCATCTTTAAAAAGCCATCATTAGACCACTGCTGAGAGAAGAACAATCTCGATCCATGTGTACCCAAACATTACAGACCTGTTTCCAACTTGTCTTTTCTATCAAAGGTGTTGGAGAAGGTTGTTCTCAGAACGATTGAAGAGTCATATGAACTTGCATCATCTGAATGAAATTTTTTCAGTCAGCTTACAAGGAAAAGCACAGCACTGAAACAGCTCTTCTCAGAGTTCAGAATGACATATTGACTCATATGGACAAGCAAGAGGTTGTGCTGCTAGTATTACTCGACCTTTCAGCGGCTTTCGACACCGTGGACCATACCATTCTACTGCAGAGGTTAGAGAGCACATTATTATCACAGGAACGGCATTACAATGGTTCCAGTCCTACTTGTCAAATAGAACAATGAGAGTCAAGGTCCATAATGCGACATCATCCATCAGAGAAACCCACTTTGGTGTACCGCAAGGCTCTGTGCTTGGTCCGATTTTGTGTTTTCACTGTACATTCTTCCAATAGGTAATATCATCCGAAGTCACAACATAAAATTTCATGGTTACGCAGATGATAACCAACTCTACATAGGAATTATACCACCTAATGTTGAACACGCAAAAGATGTTATGGAGAGCTGTATCGCTAACATCAAGATATGGATGACAAACAACTTTCTGAAACTCAACGACGACAAATCTGAGTTCATGATCATTGGAACTAGGCAGCAGCTTCGCAAAATAGGCGAGTGTAGTCTCACAGTTGGAGATCAGTCTATCTGCCCTGTGCCCCAGGTGAAGAATCTTGGTGTTGTTTTCCATTCTTCAATGTCCCCAGAATCACAAGCCCTAACAGCAGCAAGATCAGCAACCTTTCATCTCCGCCGAATAGGAAAAATCCGCCGCTATTTGGACATTGACACAACCAAACTTTTTAGTACAGTCATACGTCATCTCACGCCTAGACTACTGTAACTCCCTCGTGTCAGGAGCAGCAGCAATCCAACATCTCCAGCTTGTACAAAACAGAGGCTGCCAGGATCATTACCAGGACAAAATGTCAGGAACACATCACACCTGTACTGAGGTCGTTGCACTGGCTCCCAGTAAAGAGGAGAATACAGTACAAAATAATTTGCATCACCTACTCAACCCTCTATGACATCAATTCACCAGCTTACCTCAAAGACATCATCAGAAATCTATCGTCCAACTCGTGTCCTGAGGTCTGAGAAAAGAGGCAGCCTGAAAATGCCAGCTACAAAAACATCCATGGGAGACAGAGCTTTCAGTGCTGCTGCACCAGCTTTGTGGAACTCTCTGCCAGTTGAACTGAGATCAGTATCTTCCCTGGAAGCATTTAGGAACCAACTAAAACTCATCTCTTTCTAGCTACCTACTAGTTTCTCCACTTTCTCCGCGCAGCTCACTAGAGCAGCACCGGTTGGACATTAGGCGCTTAAACAAATGCATTATTATTATTATTATTATTATTAATATATGGGAATTTCTGCTATTTCCCCGATTTCAGTACGAGAAGGATACATGTTCTAAAGTAAAGTTTAATTTCAATCTCGCAAGTCAGTGACTGAGACTTGTAATGAACGCCAAGTTCAAAATAACTAACCCAACACTAACTGTACTTAAGTCCACTTACGTTTGTGAGTATATTTTAAATGGTTCAAGTACTTCGTGTTAAATGCGTAAGCTAGAAGCGTGTCAAGGGCTGTAATCCATGCACAGAAATCCTTACGCGGACTTCATCGAAATCGATTGCCGCATTTTACAGCTGTTTTGTTTATTTTCAGTGGCATTTGTGTCAGTTCAGTTTTCGTCACTTTTCTTAGACATGCACAAACATGAATTTAATTTTTATGGTGTAACGTTGACATTGGAAAATATTGCGCTATTGTACCACAGTCTCATCTGGACCAAAGGATCCAGAGATAGACATCATGAACATACTTCTCACTAAATCGTAGCTTTGTTTCATACATGAACGTATTATTGTTCAGTTTCCCGTGTTACTTTACTGATAATGTACAATAAGTATGCACAACTGCAAACAAAACACAATTGGTTTATAAAACGACCGTTGTCTGGCATAAATTCTTCTTCCATAGAGATGGTTTTAGACTTAATTATATGTTACATACATCGTCCTGATGTCCTTAATTTCTCATCACAACCTCCCAATAGGTTGATGCGATTAGAAACCGTTTCCTTATTACAAGCAGCTACTTCCATCTACCTGACTGATGCTATTTTAGATTGATAGCTAAGTATTCTTCAAACTGTAATTGATTTGACGTTGAAGATCTACCTTTAAGATGAGAAAATTCCTGTGGTGGGGTATTTAACGAAATCTAATTAGGTATCGTGTTCAAATTGTCTCGAAACGCCTAAGCCACTTTCTAACCATCCTTGGCATTCTTCAAGAGGGGGTAACCGAATATATCACTGTCGTCCAATGGCGCTCGTCCCGACACTGTTTTAAAAGCAGAAAATGAAATCTATTAGAAATGGAGCGGGCTATCAAGCATATTAGCGTTCAAGTGCCATGATACAAATCAGATTACCCACAACCCTGCCAAACCTCTTAAGCTAGTTTGAATTTTAAAACGCTTGTCTGTGAAGTCTTCTGTCGTACTAACATCAAACCAGTTGCCTCCCTTTTCATGATAGACATGGTGTCTTATTCGTTAGCAAGTGGTTCAGGTTTAGCATTGGCCGAACCAGATCTGCATGACATATTGATTTACTTATGTGGCAAATGTCAATTACGGAAGTGAAACTCGTCTCATTATTCGAATCACTGGAAATGTCTCAAATCCGCCTAATAACATTGTGTCTCATCTAGGTGTTTTTATTGCTTTAGTTATGTCAATGAAACGAATGAGTCACTGGGAAGCCAAGGGAAGCTCGTAGGAAACTGCATAACTGTCGCATGGACGTACTCTCGTTAAAGAAGAATATGCTACAACATTACAAAACTCTAGACCTATTCTCGGTGTAGAACAATGTGTTGGAAAGTTACAATAATGGGGGACTGGATAACTGTCTGCTGTGTTATTAATTATCGTGCCCTGTCTATAAGTTATCAAGTGCTGACAAAGATGAATCACTGGGAGGCCAGTTGAAGCTGGTAGGGAACTGCATAAGTGTCTTCTGGACGTACCTTCTGTATGGAAGAGTATGGCAGATCGTTACAAAATTAGAACACTGTACAGCTATCTCCTAGACCTACTCTCTGTGTAGAACAATGTGTTAGAAAGTTACAATAATGGGGAACTGGATAACTGTTTGCTTTGTATTCATTTCCGTACCTCTGGATCTTCACGGGCCATTCGCCACATCTAAGGATAAGACAAACAAATGAACAGCTTCTTTATTGCAATAAAGAGCGAGCAGTTATCAAGGAAGTGACTGACTTGACTGAGTTTGGTTTTACGCCGCTTTTAGCAATATATCAAAGTGAAGTGAAGTACAGAGCATGGGTAAGTGGCATGTGCACAAGTATTAGGTGGAGTTTTATATAGATGGATGTGGATGTGATTACAGCGGAATGGTGAAGCTCTAGTGTGGGCATTCAACAGGTGAAATAAGATAAACGGTACTAACACGTTAAGCTAGTAATATAACACGCTGAAGCATGCCAGATACATGCCAACGGTCTGTAAGTTATCAAGTCAATAACCATCATTTTCATCTGTCAAAGCAATGTGCTAACATGACATGCGCCAACCAGGTGAGCGAAACTGAGTTATTTATGTAATTTATTAAGTCTGGACCGATCATCTTCATCTGTTGAAGCAATTGTGACAATACATGCATGATCAACCAAGAGAGCGACTCTGACCACTTACGCTCAGTCACCTCTTACGACAAGCAGGGGTTCCTGAAGAACATTCTTCAGGAGGTCTTGCTGGATGTAAACGAGTTGTATTGTAGCAGATGTACCCAATAAACATCTATATTGCGCTAGTCCGATATTTATATAAAAAATACACCACATTGTATAAGCAATATAATTACACACTGAATATGAAACTCACAAGGATACTCATAAAACGAATACTGTCTCTGCAACTGAGGTGATAAAAATACTATTACCATACAGTAACAACACCTCGTGACTGATTGAAGACATTGAAAACAGACAGTTGGCTAATGAGAAGATTTTACAGTTTCAATAAAGATGTTTCTTAAAGTTAGGGGAACTATTCGTAGTTCATTTGTTTGACATGTTGAGAGCTATTGGAATAATATCATAAAATCCAGCTTGTACGAATATGTTGAATATAGTCTCAATCTCACAGATTGTGAAGACTGCATTAAACAGGTGAAATAAGATAAACAGTGGTGACAAGTGGAACCAATAATAACGCATCAATGTGCAACATGCCAAATACATGCCAACGGTATGTAAGTTATCAAGTCTGGAAAAATAATCATCATCTTCATCTATCCACGAAATTGTGATGTTATGTATGTAACTTATTAAGTCTGGACCGATCATCTTCATCTGGAGAAGCAATTGTGATAAAATGATCAACTAAGTGAGCGACTGTGACCACCCGATCTCAACAGTGACCTGTTGTGACAAAGATGAGTTGCTGAAGGACATACTGAACAAGTTCCTGCAGGATGTAAACCAGTTGAATTGTAGGAGATGTATCCAATAAACATGACGTAAATACTACGCTATATGCATATAGAACATACACCTCGATGTCTGTAGTATAATTACACGATAAATATGAAACTCACAAATATGCTCATAAAAAGAATATTGTCTCTGAAAAAGGGGTGATATACATACTATTAACATACTGTAACAACTCTTCGTGACTGATCGAAAACATTGAAAACAGGACATTTAGGTAATTGGAATGTTTTACACTCTCAATAAAGATGTTTCTTAAAGTTAGTATTCATTTATTTGACAAGTCAAGATATATTCGAATAAGAAAAGTCATGGTTTTGTGTTCAAATTATGTTTCGTGGTGTAGTGGTTAGAGCGTCCGCCCGGAGAGCGGAAGGTCGCGGGTTCGATCCCCGACCGCGTCATACCAAATGATGTTAAAATATGGTACTTGTTGGTCCCTGCCTGGCGCTCGGCATTAATGAGTACAACAAGGACTGGTCGGCTCGGAGTCAGTATAATGTGTCTGAGTGGGGTATTCATGCTTCACTGCAGCATGGTATCTCAGTGGGATAGCACTATAAAACCAGCTTCAGTCTGGGCTAGTACAAGCAGCCGCACATACACATACACACGCATGCACGTTGTCATATGAGCGAAATATTCTCAAGCACGACGTTAAACCCAATTTCACCTCACCTCACCTCAAGTTATTATTAAACCCAACTCGTTACAATGTATGGAATATTGTTTTCTATCAGATTGTACAGATTATATATGTCCGAATTAATGGTTATTCATCTAACAACGGTCAACTGTCGATGCAATTATCCGCCACGTATTACACGCTGTACGTCTCAGCAAGGCTTATACAAAGTATGTATTTGCAATTACGTTGGGATGTAAACAAGAACACATATAATTGAGTTTTAAAAGACCAGAATGTAAAGGACTCTGTCACCTATAGGGACTGAAATAAGAAACAGTATGCACACTAGCATACACAAGCACAGACACGTGCACACACAAATTAATCACCATGAAACATGGCCGTGTACTTTCTTATGCTCACCTATTTATGTCTCATCAGACTTGTTTGGCAAATGCTATTTTTGTTTATCCATCTTCACGATCCTACTCCGAAAGGTAGTTTGTCATCAGGCAGACTGGATGTGACACCTGAATAATATGTTAATAAAACTCGTGAAAAACACAGGTGGTACCAGGTTGTATGTGTTCAGGTAAGAAAAGTGTTGATAATGTCTTAAACCATTACCAACCATTGAAAGTTCTTGTACTGAGATTTCTTCTCCAAAACGCAATTATCATGTTTCTTTCATACAGGCATGTCATCGTATCCCAATTGAGATTGTTGATCACTGGATAGTCTGGTCCAGATTCGATTATTTACTGACCGCCGCAATACAGCTTGAATATTGTTGAGGGCAGCGTTAAAGAACAATCAAACAAAAGCTATGGAGTAGCATAAAAATGCGCTTTTTGGGGCAAAGTATAGAGCTGGGTAGATTTCTAGCCTGTTGCATCTTTACAGTACTGTAAACAATCAAACAATAACTGGAGAGACTGTATCTTGACGCTGGTTGAATGCTGCTCTATGGCAGTTCAGGAAATTGATTCAGAACACATTATTAATTGAGTGAGTTGATCGTGTGTAGCAGGTCTTTAATAACTATACTATCCCAAAAAAGAAACGCATAGGCGTTTTGTATTTTCAAAATCTAATAATTACCTATTGTGTTCAAACAATCGTCAAAATA